ACGGCCATACAGCCCGGAAAATCTACAACAGCTAATCTTCTTTCCCTTCCCCTCCCCACAACGAGACACCCCATGAAGTAGGTGGGGGCTGAGAGAGCTCTCTTGAGAACTGCTCTGTGAGAGAACAGCTCTGTCATGATTATGGGCCTATAGCGGGGCGGCCTAGTGGCTCCAGGGAAGCCTGTATGGTAGTGGTCATCAAGGCCGACATTTCTCAGGTCTCCTCTGGACCCTGTGATTGGGTTAAAGGAGATTTTTGGAGGGAAAAACTACACCAATAGGGGAACAGAGGGCGGGGCCTGGAAAGAGGAGATAAAAGGCCTTGCCCAGAGTGGGGGGGTGGTCTCTCTCAGGGATCAGGGCTGGTGGAAGTTGCTGCAGGCAGAGGGATGAGTTAGGCTGTGCACAGGTACCTAGGGAAGGCTAAGACTATGTAGACAGACGCGTTAAGATTTATTATCTTACTGATTTACCCGCCTTTACTTTGCTCATTTTTCCTACTTGCTATTGATCTAAAGTTGCTGTTAAATCTCTTAATTTGTTCCCCTGCCTGGGTCCTCACGCCTCATTTGGTCACGTACAAGGAGAAGCCTGTTGTAAAAGTATTGTAACAAGGAGTAGATGGGCGCTCTGGGCCCTCCCAAGGAGAAAAAGGGGAAAGGGGAAAAAACTGAACCTAAAACTTAGAATTCAGAACCTAAAAAGGTTAGTCAAGGATAGAAGAGGGCCAACTCTAAAAATCATACAAAAATATACATGTATTTATTACACACAAATTAAAATAACAAAGAAGGGCCCATTCATACCTCATAAACAAATATATATATATATATATATTTGTTATTTTAATTTGTGTGTAATAAATACATGTATATTTTTGTATGATTTTTAGAGTTGGCCCTCTTCTATCCTTGACTAACCTTCCCAAGGAGACCCATAACAGAGTGGTGGCAGCCCTTAGTGAACTTTCCTAGCCGCTGCCCTCGACAAGCTCTGAGAGAACTTATGACTGCCCCAAGGTCACGCAGCTGGCTCCATGTGGAGGAATAGGGAATTTAACCCGGTTCTCCCAGAGTAGAATCCACGCTCTTAAGCACTACACCAAACTGGCTCTCAGTCAATTAACCCGCCGTGCTTGAAAACCTGTGGCCAATTGGGAATGTTTTGGCACTGCTGATGGAGTTGTCTGCAGGTACAAAATTTTTTCCAAGAGATAGTTTCAAAAATGTGCACTGTTACAAACCAGAAATTGCCACTCTCACCAGAACTGGCATTCTTGGAACTCTGGCCTGATGCACGGCCAAAGAAGCAAAAAAACCCAAGAAACACCCTGATACAATCTCTATATTACTAGCAGCAGCTAGACTGGCAATAGCCACTAAATGGAAATCTCTGAATCAGGCCCAACGTTGGATACAGAGGAAGAGAAGATATGGTCTCATGGGGGAAATCGCTGATGGGTTGAATCGTATTGATAACTGGCAGTTATCATAATAAATTTGTAGCTCGGTGGTTCCCTGTGAGTCAGCCCCTTGCAGATAACAATATTACCCCTTCAAATTCGAAATACCTAGATCAGTTATATATTTTTAAGTTTGCAATGCAATATAGCAAAAGCTATATCTACACCTTGGGTAAAATCCTGATTTGATATGCCTAATCGTTGTCAATAAAATTATGCAAGGGATAGAGCAGGTAGAGCAAGAAGTCCTTTTCTCCCTTTCTCACAATACAAGAACTCGTGGGCACTCCATGAAATTGCTGAGCAGTCAGGTTAGAACGGATAAAAGGAAGTCCTTCTTCACCCAGAGAGTGATTAACACTTGGAATTCACTGCCACAGGAGGAGGTGGCGGCGGCTACAAGCATGGACGGCTTCAAGCGGGAATTAGATAAGCACATGGAGCAGAGGCCCTTCAGCAGCTATTAGCCACAAGGTATAGATAGGAACTCTCTGTCTGGGGCAAGGGATGCTCTGTATTCTTGGTGCTTGAGGGGACGACAACAGTGGGAGGGCTTCTAGTGTCCTGACCCCACTACTGGACCTCCTGATGGCCCCTGGTATCTTTGGCCACTCTGTGACCCAGAGTGTTGGACTGGATGGGCCACTGGCCTGATGCAACATTGGCTTCTCTTATGTTCTTATGAATTGGATAAACATATGGAGCAAAGGTCCATCAATGGCTCTTAGCCACAAGGTATAGAAAGGAACTATCCGTCTGGGGCAAGTGATGCTCTGTATTCTTAGTGCTGGGGGGGGGGCACAGTGGGAGGGCTTCTAGTGTTCTGCCCCCACTGATGGACCTCCTGAGGGCACCTGGTGTTT